AGAAATATAGGCTATATGTCATTTATGGCATATTATATACATCATTTTTAATCAATTTTTAAAAGTGTATAGCATGTACATGACATATTTCATTCCCCCGCGTACCACTAGAAGGAAGCCTGCGTACCAATAGTGGTACACGTACCACAGTTTGAGAACCACTGCTGTAGAGCAATTGGCATGATGAAAAAAAACAACACAAAAATCATGGGTATAGTTTCATGGTGACTAATGGTGAGCTAAGGGTTTTCTGCTGAATGAACCAGAAGGTGGCGTACTTGAGCAGTTTAATGTTGCACATGGTCAGCTCTTTCCAGTTGACAAAGATCATGGCAACCTCCTTCTCCGTCAACAAATCAGACTCCAGCAGAGGCTTCTGGAAGGTCTGAAAGCAATACATAAATACTGTTTAGTTACCCTTATAGTTAATAGTCATTAGGTTAATCATTATTATTTAACCACATGTACATATACAAGGCATACGGAAAGTCTTCATAGCGCGTGACTTTTTCCACATTGTTTTATGTTACAGCCTTATTCCAAAATGGATGAAATTAATTTATTTCCTCTAATTCTACACACAATACTTCATAATGACAATGTGAAAAAGAGTTCTTGAAATTGTTGCAAATTTATTAAAAATAAAAAAACTGAAAAATCACATGTACATTAGTATTCACAGCCTTTGCTTAATACTTTGTTGATGCATCTTTGGCAGCAATTACAGCCTCAAGTCTTTTTGAATATGATGCCACAAGCTTGGCACACCTGTCTTTGGGAATTTTTGCCCATTCCTCTTTGCTGTACCTCTCAAGCTCTATCAGGTTGTATGGTAAGCGACGGTGTACAGCCTTTTTCAGATCTCCCAAGAGATGTTCAATAGGATTTAGGTCAGGACTCTGGCTGGGCCATTTAAGGAAATTCACTGAGTTGTTGTGAGAATTTTGTTTCTTATGGTCTGAGAGTCCTTTGGCTTCTGTCTGGCAACTCTACCATACAGGCCTGATTGGTGGACTGCTGCACAGATGGTTGTCCTTATGTAAGGTTCTCCTCTCTCCACTGAAGAACGCTGGAGCTCAGACAAAGTGACCATCGGATTACTGATCACCTCCCTGACTAAGGTTTCTCCCCCGATCACTCAGCTGGCCGGCCAGCTCTAGGAGGATTCCTGGTGGTTCCAAACATCTTCCACTTACGAATAATGGAGTGCACTGTGCTCATTGGAACTTTTAGGGCAGCAGAAATTGTTTTGTAACATTCCCCAGCCTTGTGCTGTTTCGGAGTTCTAAAGGCAATTCCTTTGTCTTCATGCTTGGTTTGTGCTTTGACATGCACTGTCAACCCTGCCACCTTGTATAGACAGGTGTATACCTTTTTAAATCATCTCTAATTAACTGAATTTACCACAGGTGAACTCCAATTAAGTTGCTGAAACATCTCAAGAATGATCAGTGGAAACAGAGTGTACCTGAGCTCAATTTAGAGCTTCAAGGCAAAGGCTGTCAATACTTATGTACATGTGATTTTTCAGTTGTTTTTTTTTATTTTCAATTAATTCGCTACAATTTAAAAAAAAAATTTCACATTGTCATTATGGGGTATTGTGTGTAGAATTGATGAAATAAATACATTTAATCTATTTTGGAATAAGGCTGTAACATAAAAAAATGTGTAAAAAGTCAAGCGCTATGAAGAACTTCCGAATAATTCCAGCTGCCATGGAAAATTTTTAATTTTTCTTTAAAAACAACAGACATGAACAACAAAAATAAACAACCTACAATAAAATTAAAAATCTAAAGTTAAAATTTAACAAAATTATGTCCATTTAAATATGTGAAATCCGTTAAATGTCCATCTATGTCCATTTGAATATTCAACCCTATACTCCTAAAATGAAATAACAATTAATAAAATTATTAATAAAGAGTCGAAGATAGTTTTTTTTAGCATAAAATTTTTTTGTGGTGTCCTATTTATTTAGATTATTCTTTTCTAATCAAGCAAAACCATATAGAGTAATGATAATTTTCTCCATAATCAAAAATTAATAAAAAATAATAATTTTGGTTATACTTAAAACAAGAATCATTTGATGACATATTAAGAAAGTATATTTAAGGATCATAGGGCAGCTGCATAATATTACAAGGTTTTCTATTTTAATAATAGAAAATATAATCAAATGGAGTATTATTAGTAATTCGTTCATATTTATGTAAATACAAATCAGAATGAACATGCAAACGCCAGTATTAAATAACAGCATGTGTTGTTCTGAATAAGCATGAAACGTTATTTCACCTATACACACTTTGCTGCCATTTAATAAGCATTTTAAGTGCATATGCAAATTTAATTTGAATGTTTCATATATGAACCACTGCGTCCTGGCATGACTTTAGTGAACATGACACAGACAACACTCCTGACTGTCCATCTTTCCCAGTCTACAGTGTTTTACCTCAGTGACCAGCTGCAGGTCATTGACATAGTTCTCCTCTGTAACAATAAGCTCATGTATGTATCCCTGCCTCTTCCGCTCCACTGGGGTCAGCATGTCGAGCAGGTGGAGATCAGCACACCCTGTCAAACGCACAGAGGTCATGCGCCGTCAAATCTCATGCACAGATTAATACATTCAAAATATGACACATAAATCATTAGTATTTTAATTCAGAACATTAAAATTAAGCACTTAAAATACGACGATCTGAATTAATGTTAATTACTTCTGTCATTTTAAAGCAAGGAACAATCAACACATATTATCCCAAAATAAAGCTCGATTAGAAACTGTCAATTAATTATTACACTTGTCAAAACAAATCATTGGACATGCAACACTGATTTGAACTTGAGATGAACTTACTTTATGAAGATGGTGGAGTGATACGAGGCATAATTTGCAGCCAAAAAGAATATCTGACAGCTAAAATGTAGGATATTGCCCAATCAGAATCGAATATTCCAGAGAGCTGGTCGACTAATAGTTTTATTTCTGTTGAATATGCATGCATGCATCTCTTATACCCAACTGTGCAGTTTATCAATTAAAAGAGATGGTCTATTCTGTTGAACACAAAAGAAGATATTTTGAAAAATGCTGGTAGCCGACTTCCACTGGGCTTCATCATACACATTTGCTCGTTTCAGACCGGTGTGGTTATCATTTTCAGGTCCTGCACCACATTGTTTAAATAGCAAATGCATTTGTGCCCATGCTTTTGTGCCTATTTGTGCACCTATGAGCATGCTTGTCTGAAAAGGAGGCATGTTGCTGGTGCTTAGCTATTTTGAGGCAATTGAAATGGACAGAGACGTTGACCAACTAAAACTATTCTTAAGTTAATGGTGTAGTTTTTTGGGGGGTATTTAAAAAGTGCATTAGTGATAGGCAGCTCCAAAACATGCATATACATTGCTTATAACACACACAGGGATGTGCAGCAGCACATAAACATGTGCAACAAGCAGAGTTGGGGAAAGCTACTTTAGACAGTAATGCATTACAATATTTAGCAATTCCCCAAAAAAGTAACTAGTTGCATCACTTTGTTATTTTTTTATAGTAAGTCATGTGCTGAATTACTTTTGCGTTACCTTTTATTACCTGACTGAGACTCGATCTCTCCCAGAACTTGTTTTTCTCTTTCTTTTTTTTTTTTTTTAGAGATTAACAGTTTTATTGATTCTCAGGCACATTTCAGAATGGAATAGAGAATACAACTCTGTGAAGAATTAACATTTTATCCTATTAACAACCCAAACCCAAACTAAACCCCTAACTATGACTTTATGGTCCCGGCTTGCTATCATTAAATACAGTTAAAGCCTCCATCTTTATATAATGAAGAGAAAATTAAAATAAAATACAAATTTTAAAAAAATGATTAGGTAAGGTCAGTCAATATCATTTCGCATTTACACTGTCACAATCAGTATATTTCTCACACGTGTATTACTGTTCCATTTCCAAACAGCTTAAGCACTCTGACCATTTCTTTTATAGTATAGGTTTAGCTTGTCCATTTGTTTACAATACATTCTTTAAAATGTGGCCACTCTAGCAGGGTCTACTACCCATTCTTGAAGGGAAGGGATATCTTCTGATTTGCAGCTCCTAAGGATTACTTGTCTGCCAATCAATAAACTGTTTTGGTCACAGGATTTTATGCTTTTATCTTTTATTTCGTTGTCTGTCCAACCACCAAGTCAACAAAATAAAAGATAAAAACATAAAATCCTGGGTAGAAACCAGGATCTTTCTTTTTAATAGAGGAGCTCTGCAATTAACAACGCACTATATAACCTTAATTTACCTTTAAAAACAAATCAAAAAATAATATTTTAGAATGTCATGTAAGAACTTGCTGACCCCAAAGCTGTGAATGCTTTATGTACAGATTATTGAAAGATTAAAGCAATGTGTTTGCTACTTTTGCACTATTTGTCTTAGGTAAAATAACTGTCCAATGAAACAATCTCCTGTTCCTTTTCTTCTGTGTGTTCAAAAAAAATAACATTGACTGCGTGATTCATTGCGACTATGTTAATTTTATTACAGAAATGTATTTTTTAAATGCTAATTCATTAAACTACAAGTAACTCAAGTATTATTACTTAATTTTTAAAAGTAATTCGCTACTTTACTCGTTACTTAAAAAAGTAATATTATTACGTAACTCGTGTTACTTTTAATGCGTAACCCCCAACACTGGCGACAATTGCATTTTTGCTCGTTTCAGAATATCGTGTAAATCAATTCCAGGTCCTGCACTGTCCATAACCAGCATTTTTCAAAATATCTTCTTCTGTGTTCAGCAGAGAAAAAAACATATAAGAGTTTAAAACCACGAGCAAGATTTAATGAGGTAATATACATTTTTGGGTGAACTATCCCTTTAAATGAGTGCATGTGACGGTGAATGCGGAAACATTGTTTGCTAGTGACACAACCAGTCCATCTGGTAGCAGATTGAAAACTCAATAAGCCAGTCTGCAGTTGCCATGGAGTTCTTTAATGGTTACACATCATTTTTTATAAAGGTGGTATGACACTTTAAAGCTAGGATTTGCTGTATATGGTTGGTTTTAACTGTACATTCATTTTATTTTTTGATAAAATGCTTTAATAATCAAGTACAATTGTTAATGTTTGTTTTTTGGACATAGTGGTGAGATATTCAGAACAGATGCATTTTATTACAACGTCGGATAGGAAGGAAGCAGCTGTGCTTCTGTAGTCCGAGGATGGTTATGTTCACTTAAAATAAAAAAAAAAGACACGGACATGATGGACAGTCAATCCAGCCAATAATAAAGCAGCAACCTCAGTGGAACCAATAAAGATCCACACAGACATGAAACTGATTTCACGTCTCATCTCTGAGCATTAAAATTACAATACTGTTATGAGGCAAATAACATATAAACAAAAAGTCTTGTAAGTACAACATTGGAGGAGTAAAAATGAACACCATGCTTTCCAAACAAGCAGAAAAAAAACACACTGGACATGATCTAACAGCCTTAAAACTCTTGTTCTCGAATGTAAAGGAAAATTCCAGTCTCTCACACTTGTAAACGTCTATTTATTCATAAGCATTTATGATTAGAAGCTTATATTCATTAATCTTTTCCTTAATGCTGACAACATTTGGAGTCTACTCGTTTTTACTTTCAGTTTCCCAAAGGACGGTGTACATACTGCAGAGGAAATTACTTTTGTGTCTGTCATTAAACACTATGCATAACAGCTTTTGATCATTATAAAAATACGACTTGAAATCTAGTGTTCTCAAATCAGAATAATAATAATTGCAGATTCAATCAACATGACAGAATGAGGACAGTAAACAACTGAAGATACAAAACACAAAGCATTCATCCATCTGAATGGGAAACGCATATAAACAAGAAATGAAATCCAATCGCGTGTACGTCATGTCCAGCAACATTTTATACATTTGTCCAACACTGTACCATTAAACCTCAAGTGGCAGTTGTGCAGTTTATGTTGTTGTTGTTTTTTTGGTTTGCAATACCAATTCTCAACCCCGTCACACAGACACAAAACAAATGTTCGAAATCAAACGGAATAAAAGAGACTAGCAAGCACACGAACACAAATCTAATTCATCCACTGGTTTGGTATGAACATGTAACAAACAATGACACAGAGAGGCATGTGACTGGACCGGATGAACTGAGACGTCCATCCTGTCCGTCAATTTGATTGACAGCACCTGTGCGTGTGTACTGAAGGAGTGAAGGGGGACGAGGCTGTTCTAAATGACACACAATGAGATTCTACATGAAGTCCACACACATATCCGACCATTTGTGGACTTTTGATATGATAATACAGTTTTTTGACGTCACTCGACTTATTTTTAGACACACGTTTTGGAATCCACGAAATATGGTGTTTCAATTGGTCAGATATGCTGCACACATCGCTATTTTCACATAATAGAGCCTTAAAGAGACACTCCACTTATTTTGTAAACAAACTCATTTAAGTTATCTACAGTTAAACGGTCAGAACCATTCAGCCAGAGCACTTTTAGCTTAGCTTAGCATAAAGACCAATGGAAAGTACACTATAAAGCAGGTGCAATAACATTACACAGCACCTGAAAATTACGTCTTTAACAGAGGCAAAATTCCTTACTATTAGCTTAGCATAAAGCATTGAATCGGATTAGACCATTAGCATCTCACTCAAAAATTTCAGAAAATTTTCCTATTTTAAATCTTGATTCCTCTGTGTATTTACATTGTGTACCAAGACCAAGTGTGCCATTTTCTAGGTCAATATGTGTAGGAACTATACAGTCATTCTTCAGTAATATTCTAGGAACTTTGCTGCTGTACCGTGGCTGCAGCAGGCACAATGATATTATGCAGCACCTGAAAATAGTCCCCTGCTATGTAACTAGGTAGCTGCGCTGAATAATATTATTACGCCTTGTGCAGCCATGGCAAAGCAGCAAAACTCCTTGAGTACTTTTAGCTTAGTTTAGCATAAATCATTAAATCAGATTAGACCATTAGCATCTCAAAAATGTCAGAAGATGTTTCTATTTAAAGCTTGATTGTTCTGTATTTACATTCTGCACTAAGACCACTAGATATTGAAAGTGTGCCACTTTCTAGGATGATATGTCTAGGAACTATACAGTCATTCTGGAGTAACAATCTAGGAACTTTGCTGCTGTAACATGGCTGCAGCAGGCGTAATTATATTACGCAACACCTGAAAATAGTTCCAGTTAGATAACTAGATAACTGTGCTGAGAAACATCATTATGCCTTTGCACAGCAGCAAAATTCCTTACTATTAGCTTAGCTTAGCATAAATCATTAAATCAGATTAGACCATTAGCATCTCACTCAAAAACTTCATAGTTTATAAGTTTATAAGTCATAAGTTGTCCTATTTAAAGCTTGATTCTTCTGTATTTACATTGTGTACCAAGACCAATGGAAAACAAAAATGCGCCAATTTCTAGGTTAACATGTCTGTAAGAACTATACAGTCATTCTGGAGCAATAATCTATGAACTTTGCTTCTGCTCCATGGCTACAGCAGGTGTAATCATATTACTCAGCACCTGAAAATATTCCACAACTAGGTAACTAGATAACTATGCGGAGTAATATCATTACGCCTTCTAAAGCCATGGTACAGCAACAAAATTCCTTGATTATTACGCTAGAACGAGAGTATAGTACCTAGGAACTTTCATATTCCGTTGGTCTTAGTATACGATGCAACTAAAAGAAGAGTCAAGCTTTTATAGAAATAATTATAAAAACTCTTTTCAGACAATTTTGATTAAGATGCTAATGCTCTAATCCAATTTAACGATCTATGCTAAGCTATGCTAAAAGTGCTCCCACCAGACCTGGAGATTGGCTGAGTGGAATCAAAAATGGTAAATCTGTTCAACACTAGGGGAGTCGTAAAATGAGTATACTTACAAAACAAAGTGGAGCGTTCTTTACATGAGTTTGCAATGACACTAATAAGCAAGTCAGTTATGACATCTGTTTGATACTGCACCCCGTTACGTCATGACTCATGAATAGTGGGTCATTCTGTGGTGCTATGGTCCAATGAGAAACCAGGGAGGCGGGGCTTGGAGGAGCGGAAAGCGTGCATTAGTCGGATGGGAGCGGTGGAACTTAACACTGAATGAAACCATTTCATTGGCTGCTTCAAAAACAGCAGGCTTTGGAGGGGGGGAGGGGGTTGAGATCACAGAAAGCCACAAAAGGACCCACTATCCACCACTTTGATTAGTGTTTCAATTCATTGCACAAATTCAGTGTGAATGATCATTAATTTAATTAATTTGTAAAAAAAAAAAAAAAAAAAAAAGGAGAGATCCTTCAAAAAAATGTTTATTTAAATAATGCGGAGGATGCTGGCTGGCATTTTGTTTTTTGGTGAGCGTCTAGAATATTGAGGTTAACGACTGCTCTCTGTAGTATTCGTCTCTTCTGGCCACAAAGCCAGCTGTGTGTGTGGGGGGGCAGTCACATGATCAATGTTCCGTCTCCCATCATCCCGCTGGGCACAGTTTAAGGGATAGTGGGTCGCTTTGAGGACTTTCAAGGCTGAGTGGGATATGGGCAACATAAGAGTCCTAGAAAGAGGAAAACACAGCACATAAGCCAAAAAAAAAGGAAAAATAAAAAATCTAATAAAAAAAGGAAAGAAACGAAAAACCACAATGTGCAAAAATCTTTACGAGCTAGGAGAACTAAATGAACTCTGCAAGACACTCTTCACAGGACGCCACAATGACAAGGACACGAGCATGCAGGCAGAGAGAGAGAGAGAGAGAGAGAGAGAGAGAGAGAGAGAGAGAGAGAGAGAGAGAGAGAGAGAGAGAGAGGTGAGGTTCTACTTAATGCTCTACAACATGAGGTGAGAGGTTGCTTGGAAACAGGAAGAGGAGGGGCTTCATTGTGGCAGAGGATAAGGATTGGACATTGGACGTTTTAAACCTCACCACACTGTGAGGACATGGCTAAACTAAATCGAAGAAGGTCCTCAAAGATTTGAAAGTAGTAGCTTTGGATCAGAGTGGCACGGTTCATTTAATCGGATGCTATTGGTGACGCAAGCCAATTGTCTCTTTAAAGAGAAATTGATCTACATCTCTTTTGAGCAAGATAGATGAAAGATCAGTGTAACTGTGTGTGTGTAAGATACAGGAGAGCATTTTGGACTCACATTGTTGGCTGGGGTCTGTGTCGGTGGTCAGCTTGACGTAGTTCGAGGGGAAGAGGCCGACGGATCCATTCAACTCTCCTTTCCACCAATCGGGATCCTCTCTGCTCAACACATTGATGATTTGGCCCTTCCCGAAAGGCAGCTCGTCATCATTCTGAGCAGTGTAATCATACATGCCAATCACCTGGCACACTGCAAAGAGGAAACACAAATGCATATGTATAAATGTATTGTAATGCTCAAGCATATTTTCCAAGCTATATACAGTAGGTCACGCTATTTTTATCTAAAATATTTGATTCCCAGGTCATTTATTTGATGCAATTGAAGACAAACAAGCAAAACATGCAAATGTGGGTTTGTGTTGAATTGGACTTCTGTATGAGTAGATCGACTTTAGAACACGATGTAACTACAGAAGAGTCAAGCTTGTATAGAAATTATTATCAAAACCTTTTTTTTGTTTATTTTTATATTTTTATTTTTGCTCCCACTGGACGTGGAGATCAGCTGAGTGTATTAAAAAAATGGTAAAACTGTTTAACTCTAGGGAAGTCATAAAATGAGGCTATTTCCAATAACGTGGAGTGTTTTTTTTTTGGTCGGCGCAATAGCCTAGTGGTTGGCGCGCAGACATATGGTGCAGTAGCACGTCAGGGTTTGAATCCCGGCTCGAGGACATTTCCAACCCTACCCCCCTCTCTCTCCAACTTCGCTTCCTGTCTCAATACTGTCCTATCTAATAAAGGCAAACAGGCCAAAAATAAATTATTTAAAAAATAAAAATAAAAATGGAGCAAGATGCTAATAGTCTAATCCGATTCAATGACTTATGCTAAGCTAAGCTAAATGTGCTTCCGCTGGACCTGTAGATCAGCTGAGTGGATTAAAAAATGGTAAAACTGTTTATCTCTAGGGGAGTCATAAAATGAGGCTATTTTCAAAAAAAAGTGGAGTGTTGTATTAATGAGTTTGCTTTGTAGAACATTTTTAACTATACAATACAATTAAATCCACCAAAACAACACTGGTTGATAAAGTTTTTTTAAATTAAATCCTTTAAAAGAGTTTTGCTTTTTGGCTCATTGCCTTTGGTTATTAATCATAAGAGTATAGTTGATACTCCTGAAAATAGTCCCTAACTAACTAGATAACTACGCTGCATAATACATTACACCTTCTGTAGTCTTGGTACAGCAGCAAAATTCGTTGATTATTACACCAGAACGCTAGTTCCTAGCCACTTTTCATTTTCCGTTGGTCTTAGTACACGATGTAACTACAGAAGAGTAAAGCTTTAATAGGAACATTTATTAAAACTCTTTTTTTGAAATTTTATAGCGAGATCCTAATGGTCTAATCCGATTTAATGCTCTATGCTAAGCTAAGCTAAGCTAAAAGTGCTCCCACCAGGCCTGGAGATCGGCCGAGTGGATTCGATAAAACTGTAGGGGAGACATAAAATGAACATATTCCCAAAAAAGTGGAGTGTTCTATTAATGAGTTTGCTTTGTGGTGCATTTTAAACAATATAATACGATTCAATTCACCATTTCACCGTTTTAAAAAGTATTAATTTGCATGTCAAAGATCAAACAATCTTCAATAACATATCCAAATAATATTTTTATGCCTGAGTTTTAGAGGTATTTGCTTAGCTGTTCATTACTTTTAGTTATCCACCATGAGAGTATGCAAATACTATGAAAAACTGCTAGCTACAGGAAAACACTTTCACTTGCCCTGTTATAAATGACAAGACACACGCTCAAACACAACATACTCAACTTTAATCCTTAAATCCTGTTTTAATTGCAAGAAGAGCCATGCAAAAAGACAACATGTTTTTTGGTGTCAAGAGAAACCTGTCTTTATCATATAATTCCCATACCTGCATTGGGTGTCGGCAGCTTGGGTGGGTTGGGATCTGTGGGTGTTGTCTTACTGGTACTGGGACTCAATAATTTGACATAATTTGCAGGAAACCAGCCAATCTGCCGCTTCTTTCCTCTTGCCTGTGAGGAGCAGAAGCAGTGTGCCAAATTAAAATTAATGTAACATTGAAGAATTAAATAACTACAGATTATATAAAATGTTTAAAGTTTGTGTGGTTAAAGGTTGGTGTATTTAACAGCTTGACTTGCTGTGTGTTTTTTCAGACCTGAAGTTCTCCTTCCCACCATCCTCCCGGGTTTTTCTTGCGAATGAGAATGAGCTGGCCTGGTGCTAAAGTGAGCTGCTCTGCACCAGTGGCCGTGTATGGAGCGATGACTTGGGCAATCTCTGAAAACACAAGAAGAATGTAGGTAAAAAGAGAGCGAGAAGACAAAGCCCTAGTTTTTTTGGAGGCATAAAAGTGTGGCTTTTGTGTTGCTATAACTTAAACTTTCTCTTTTAGACGGCGATTGAGCAAATAAGAAGGTCATATGGTGGACTTTTGGTATGGAACGGGCACCAGCACTCACCTGGTTTCTTCCCTAAACTTCCTGTTTTCCCAGCAGATCCCAACCCCTGGAAAAGCGTAGGAATTCAGTTATGGTTTTACTAATTTCTGATGGTTATTTTGACTTTTTAAACAATTGTTTGCATGTAACTGTAGTCGCATCAGCAAACACTTCAATCTCAAACATTTCAAGTTGTTCGAACTGCAAGTCATTACCTCAGATTCTTTAGGTTTGACATAATTCGATGGAAAGACTCCGATCTTCCCGCTCACAGTGCCGGTCCACCAATCTCCTTCTTTCTTGGTGACTGTGATGACATCACCTTGCTGGAAGGTCAAGTCACCCTGCTCATTGCTTTCATATGTATACATGGCCACATACTCTGTGATAAGGCAAAAGAATAGCACACAAAAACGTTCAGATTCAATATGATTAATAGCTTCATGTAGAAAATTAAGAATTAGGTTGCTTTCACACCTGCCTTATTTAGTTTGATTGACTCGCACTAGAGTTTGTTTTCCCTTTTGGTGCGGTTCGTTTGGGCAGGTGAGAATGCAGCAATCGTACTCTAGTGCGCACCAAAAGCGGACCAGATAAGCGGACCGAGATCTCACTGAAGAGGTGGTTTCGGTATGCTTTCAAACGAACCCTGGAGCAGTTAGTTTGAGGTGAGAATATGATCCGTGTTAAAACAGGTCTAACTGCAAAAAGTACAGCGCCTTTTGGACTAATCCAGCTGCCGTAGGCCGATGTGCTGTGCATTATGGCATATGGAGGAAAAATATTTGTTGACAGCGCTTTACCAACAGAGAGAGAGGGGAAAACATTACTTGATGGATTGTTGGTAATATTTCCGCAAGATGAACATGTCGCAGTTTAGCTAAATTAATTCACGCCTCCTGAAGTGATGAGCGATGCATTAAAACACTGTTTTCCAGCCGCAGCCGCGCTTCATTCTTGAAATGTATAGCTTGTCTAAAGCAGGCATACAATCAGTCAGCGCAGTCGTCCCTCCAGAGTAAAAACGACATTTTGTGGCTGCCGGTTTTGATTACTTGCGGGAGTTCATTGGCATTTTCCTGCACGTGAATTCTAACCAATCAATAAGCAGTTTAGGAAATATGTTCAACAACATCTGGCCAATGAGAGATGTGGATTTTGTCACATGACTGCATTTTGGTTCGTTTCAACTGGTTCAGACTAAAGCCAGCAGTGTGGTGTGAAAACGACCCAAAGACGGCAGAAAATGCAACAATGCATCATTTATTGCCCTTGGTCCGGAACAAATGAAGCGAATACAGATGTGAAAGCACCTTTAATTCACCCCAATGACTTCCATTCATACACATTCCAGACCAGAAATGCAAATTTCACATGTCACTGCATTCTAAAGTTCAAGGTTGGTGTAATCTAAATGCATCAAGTGAATACATGAGACCAATAAAAGAACAAACTATGACAGAAATGTTAAATATGGAGAAGTGTTGTCAAAAGTATCAAGTTTGGTACCAATCGATGCTGAAATATTAAAAACGTTTATTTCCCGAAAACATTCAATTAATGTTGAGCGCATTCTTAACCACCGCTGATTGGCCATTGTGTTCACATGCTCAACAGAAATGACTGCAATTGGCCGGGAAGGTCTTCGTTTTACCACACTTCACTGTTCACCAAGTGCAAACACCAATAAACAGACACTGGAGAATTTCAGAGTCGCTGGTCTGTCAATGAGCTGACATATGAGCGATACACTGATGGATCGACTGATTGAAGCAGCTTTGAAACGCTTTATGTTCCTGTATCTGTGTTTGCACCAGGTGAAGAGTGGTGAACGGTTGACTTTTAAGGCCAATCACAGTTATTTCTGTTGAGCATGTGAACACAATGGTAGAGGTCTGCATTCCTGTGGGACCTGCATGTACTGCGGGACCCGACCAGGTTTCTTGCGGTGCAAGAATAAATTTCTGAATAAAACACGGTAGCGGTTAGTAACTCTGGTGTAATTTTAACAAGAGAGGGCGGTCCAATAGTATAGCGCTTACGAGTCCCGACGTTATTTCGGAACAGCACATCTGTTATTTCCTCATTCTTATTGAGCACCGGCACAGTCAGTGCTCACCACTGTTACACATGTTGAATGCTTGGACCAGTGCTTTCTGGACAAACGCACATCTGTGCACACATCATCTGCATAACGGTCCATAGATCGGGCTTTACCAACATGGGAGAGCAAAGTGAAGATGCGCTGTCCTCCAGCTTGCATTAATAAACGGTCCGTTTACAGAAACCCACATCAGGCAAGTCTAATGTATAGGAGTCTTTTTCATGAAAATAAAAATATTACTCTTTGCACGATGTGTTAATACCTCAAAGTTTTACCCTTTATCAGTCACAAGACTGAAACCTCAGTTTAATGTGGCACTCGTCTAGGCGACATTTAGCCTACAATCCTTGCACAACCTACACAACCTACCACAATCTGGTTTCTCTCTCTTTTGGTAGTACCCAATTTAAACATTTTGGAAACCAGATCTAAACTCAGCGGGAATCGGGTTGGGTTGAAAACAAGGCAGGGCGGGCAGCGTGTAAACAAAGCCTTAATATACAGCGGAAGCAGCAATAAAACCTTGCAGGAGTGGGACAAAAAAAATGAGTCCCACGCAGAAATCAGTCAATCAATAGGCAATCAGTGATGTTTAAGTATGTGCTTAAATATTCAATACCAAAGTGGATGCTTTTGACAACACTAATATGGAGCAATCGCTTCTTTCGTCAGTATCACATAATCTTCTTTTATCCTGCCCCTTTTCACAGAACAGCACAGTACAATTTGCATGCTTAAAATCGAGTATGACCTCACCTTTAGACGGATACATTGAGTTGCTGTTGGAGTTCTGACCTTCTCCGAGCTCTGTGGGTTTGTTTAGAGAGGGACTGGGTCTCTTTACACTAGGAGGGCTGTCTGAAGAGCCAGACTCAATACTGAAACAGAACAGAATTCACATACTCAACATTACGATCTGAATGAAACAACTTGCAAAAAATTTGCCCATGTATATACAGGCCTACAAAATGTATTCTATATTATCCCACAACCACATGCACACACACTCACCTCATAGATTTCCGGACAGGTCCAGAGATGAGCTTGACGTAAGATTTAGGGAACCATCCTCTCTGTCCTTGCACCTCCCCAAACCACCACATGTCCTGCTGCTCCAGTACAGTGATCACGTCATTCTTGTTGAAGTTTAGATGATTGTCTTTCTTGGCTCTCCATGGGTACAGCGCCTGAGCCTGCAGACCCTCCACCTTCTCACCCTAAAAATAATAAAGAGAGTGAAAGTTATAAAAATTAAACGAACCAAAAATCAGCATTAAAAAAGATTAAATGATCAATAATGCTATAAATTGTTTTATATGCAGCAAAAATAGTAAAAGAGGTCTTATATTATTGCCTGATGCTAATGTTTTTTCTAAGGTGTGTGTTATCAAATAATGTGTTTTTCTTTGCATGGGTGTGATTATATATAAAGTTGAAGTCAGAATTATTAGCCCCCTTTTGATTTTTATTTTCCTTTTTAAATATTTCCCAAATGATGTTTAACAGAGCAATGAAATTTTCACAGTATGTCTGATAATATTTTTTCTTCTGGAAAAAGTCTTATTTGTTTTATTTCGGCTAGATTAAAAGCAGTTATTAATTTAAAAAAAAACATTTTTGGGACAAAATTATTAGCCCCTTTAAGCTAAATTGTTTTCGATAATCTACAGAACAAACCATCTTTATACAATAACTAATTACCCTAACCTGCATAGTTCACCTTATTAACCTAGTTAAGCCTTTTAAAGTCACTTTAAGCTGTATAGAATTGTCTTGAAAAATATCTAGTAAAATATTATTTACTTTCATCATGGAAAAGATAAAATAAATCAGTTATTAGAAATTAGTTATTAAAACTATTATGCTTAGAAATGTGCTGTAACAACCTTCCCAGAACAGAACAGAAATTAGGGGGGAAAAAAACAGGGGCGCTAATAATTCAGGGGGGCTAATAATTCTGACTTCAACTGTATATATTTAATCCAGAAAAGTGTCTTTCATAATGCATGCAACTTTAAGCCTATATATTATAATTTGTTAAACCTTTGAAAATATTTAAGACTTCATGTTACTTCTAATTTCATAAATCTTCTTTAGACACACTTAGAAATATAAATAATTTTTTTTTCAAATGCACATATGTAGTTTTTGTCTTAAATATTTGGGACAGTGTGATAGTTGATAGTGTGTCAAACATGTACCTGTCCAAGCACGGGTGAGGGGGAGGAGCCGGAGAGTGTAGCAGGCGTGAAAGCAGAGCGCTGTCTGATCTGCCCTCCACTGGGCACTGACAGAGAAGGCTGAGTTGGCTGAGTCGGCCATGCATCCCATCCATCACTATCCTGCTTCTCCACAGCAGAATTAGAGGGCCATCTGAATTAGTCACAACAATGAACAGAATAAAAATGAATGCAGGCCAATAAAATCATAATATTCAGCTTGAATAGATATAATGATAGACAGACAGACGGACGGACGGACAGACAGACAGACAGACATAGAGACATACAGACAGACAGACAGATAGATAGATAAAACGATAGATAGATAGATAGATAGATAGATAGAACGATAGATAGATAGATAGATAGAGAGAGAGATAGATAGATAGATAGATAGATAGATAGATAGATAGATAGATAGATAGATAGATACTGACGTAGTGCTGAAATCTGCCCAATTGCTTGATGCTGAGGAAGAGGAGGAGGCGGGGCCTGTGGGGGGTGGGGCTGAAGAGGGCGGGGCTATCGATGCAGGCTCTGTGGAGACTGGCAGAATGGGCGTGGCCGTGGTCGATGAAGAAGCAGATGACATGTGAGAACCCAATTTAGGGGCGGAGCTAGAAGCAGCGCTGGCCCTCAAACTCAGAGGAACTTCGGATTCTGGAATCTTCTCCGCATAGTTGGCAGGAAACCAGCCAGTCTTCCCTTTAATCTCTCCTCCTAACCATCCAGGCTCACCTGTCTGAGACTCATCCACCTTATTACAAGAGAATGACAAGAATGGCAAATTATTTATCAATGAAAAATCTTAACTTCTTATGCGGCTAATGAGGCTCATAACATCTTCACAGGGACATACATCAATGTTCTAAATACAAGCACATGAGTCAAAATACAGAGTGCACAGTCACTGCATGTAATGATGAGAAAATAAAGGGATCAATTTGTTGATTCATTACATGAAATTAGGTAAATGATCTTTGCATCTCAGGAAGATCAGTGGCTATGTTTTAATGCAACCAAAAGATTGATTAGTAAATGGATAAATGAGTCAATTGACAACATTTTTCTGCTAGATTTTAATAAAATTTCAATTGGATTGAAGGAAGTGAAGTAGTTTTTTTTTTATCAGGACATTTAAACACTTGGTTGGATTAAAAACATGCTGTTTTAAAAAGAAATTTAAGTGTCATAAATGACATTATTCTAAAATTCTTTCATTGAGTAGATGAGCACAAAAATGGGCAACGTAATGTTACATATTTACTGTTTCTACACACACACACACACACACACAGTGAAAGTCAGAATTATTAGCCCCCCTGTTTACCCCCCCCCATTTCTTTTTAAGGGAGCGAAGATTTTTTTTCAACACATTTCCAAACATAATTGTTTTAATAACTCATTTCTAATAACTGATTTATTTATTCTTTGCCATGATGACAGTAAATAATATTTAATTAGACATTTTTCAAGACACTTCTATTCTTAAGGCTTAAAGTGACATTTAAAGGCTTATTTAAATGTATACAAAGGTTAACTAGGCAGGTTAGGGTAGTTAGGCAAGTTATTGTATAATGATGCTTTGTTCTGTAGTCTATCGAAAAAAAATATCTAGCTTAAAGGGGCTAATAATTTTGAAATGCCACTTAAAATGGCATTTAAAAAATTAAAAACTGCTTTTATTCTAGCCGACATAAAACTAATAAAACTTTCTCCAGAAGAAAAAATATTATCAGACATACTGTGAAAAATTCCTTGCTCTGTTGAACATCATTTGGAAAATATTTGAAAAGAAAAAAAAAAAGAAAAATTACAGGAGGGCTAATGATTTTGACTTCAACTACATATAATTTTTACTGTAATATCAGCAGCATGTTGATATCCTATATAGGACCATAAATAGATAAATATTCCGTCTGGTCTTTAAAACAAAAATTATATGCTACAGTAGGAAAACATTGTGTGCAAATGCAGAAAGAAACTTTTGACAATAAGCTCATTTAGTGTTCACACAAGGACTACATTTCAATTTAAACATGAGACGTCCATGCAAAAGTAGCCACTGACCACCTCCAAATGGGCAAATGCCAGAAATAGCCAACATCACAACACACACAAATGATGATCTCTGAACAGAGTGTCTTTTAGCCCAGTGACAGATGAGCAATGCAGAAAACAAACTAGAGACATGTAAAAGTGCATGAGGAGCAGAAAACCTCAACTTACCCACTCTCCCTTCACCTTCAGGCAGAGTGAGCAAAGGGAGGACAGAAGCAGGTCAGAGGTCAGTTCAATGCGCATCGGCACACATGCAGAAATGCCACAAATCCCTCACACTCCCTGGCAAGCAGGCTTCAGTGGTTTAATTAATTGCTGTATAATGTATAACAGCTCTGTACTGTAGACACTATATGATGTAATGATTACTGAATCCACAAAAACACAATGGGCTTTATTTTAAAGTCCATGTGCAGAGCGCAAAACACAGGGCGCATGGTCTAAAAGGGTTGAGTTTATTTTCTTAATAAGTTATAGGTGTGTTTTGAGAATAAACCATTTAGAGTCTCATCTCCCATTCCCTTTAAGAGCCAGCTGCGTTGCGCCATAAGCGCATTCGCTATTTACAGGACGTAAAGGTGTTAAACAGAGCATTAAAACAGGTGTTAAACAGAGGATCACTTTCACTTTTGCTCTTGGATAGGGAAACCTTTACGCACAGACATCAATTAGTCTATAAATAATTAATTGCGTTTGTTAAGCGCAAATATTCGTTTCAAACCTATTTCTAAATTCAGTTCTAATTTCCAGCAAACGAATAAATGAACAATAATAACGAAGTGTGCTCAAAAACCTGAGTTATATCCTAAAACACATGCTTTGCCCCATATGGTCTAAAACCTGACAGGTGGGCAAAGCTAAGCTTGTTTTTAATAAAACAAATATAAATATGGATATAATAAATAATACTGCTAATAATAATAACATTATACAAAAGCAAATTGTTACGAATAAACTGAAAAAGCCTCCCGAGATGAAGAAGACATAAAAGCAGTGATTTTTCATATTTATGTAGGCTGGAAAATAATGATTTGTAATTTTTTAATCCTTTATATTTATATTCTTTATCTATTCTTATTATATTCTATATATATCCTTAATATTTAATTTTTTTCATATGTAAAGATATTTGCCTATTGCTCTCTTGTGCGTATTAAGCAGTGTGTAAGCGAGGCGCAACTCTGCGCCGGAGTTTAGACCGGGTTAGTTTTGGTCTAATGAAAAATCTATTTTAGTTTCTCAAAATAGCGACGCGCCAGCAGTGTGCCTCAGAACGCCTTCCCTTTTAGACCAGAACGCCTATGGACGCACATATGAGCGCTAATGCATTTGCTATTTAAACAGAGTAGCGCAACGCCTCAAAACGACTCTTGCGCCAAGCTGAAACTAACAAACAAGTATTGCGCCACGCCTTGCGCCACATTGCGCCGGGTGTATGATAGGGCCAATATGTTTAAAGGGTTGCAGTTGGTACAATTCTTTAAAAATGTTTTCAAAGGTAGTTTATGAATCCACCAAGGCAAAATTTATTAACAAATAATAATAATTAATTAAACATTTATTTATTAAAAATATAATAAAAATAGTAATACTATACTATTACTAATACTACACACAAATATTACTAAGTTTTTTCAAATTAAAACCGTTGTTATGCTTAATATATTTAGGGAAGCCATGATGTAGAGGTCTGCATTCCCACAGCTCTACCGCGTAAGCGCGGGACCCGACCAGATTTCTTGCAGATTATTTCTGAATGAAGCGCGGGACTCACCATGACTATGTCTCCAGGATGGATGGTGATCTCATCATGACTGCGGGCCTCAAAGGGATACATTGCTCTATAGTAGACCACCTTTACCTTCTCCTGATTAAAACCAGACACTGGGATCTTATCTAGAACACAAACACATGACTTATGTTGATTTCTGACATTTACTCTCATAAAGCAGCAGCAGAAATGATCAAACTCATGTCTTTCTGCATCCACAATCTTCTTTTCTCTCACCTGCCATGGACCAGGGAGACTGAGCCTGTATTTTTCCTGCTTGTGGATGTTGGGTGAAAAGCTTGGAGAGGTTATCCTGTATTTCAGCTCGGCTGTGGTTTTCTTCTTCACTCACCCGGCTCATCCAGGCCTGAGACACAGGAGGAGTAGGAGCTTTACCCAGCCCATCATCCCTCCACGCTGGAGACACGCCATCATCAGTCCCCGACAACCTGGAGCAAAATAAAATGCAAAACATGTATGTTAAAACATAAACCACGACGACAACAACAAAAATAGCTGTGGACAAAATCCCTTTAAGGCAAGTCATTTCATTCAGCGGCCATCTTTGAAACAGACAGTAGGAAGACCGGGAAATAGGGAAACATTCAATTCTCCAAAACTGCTTGCCAAAGCTTAATATCAAACTTCATTTTTACGAATTAGCAATGAAACTAAACAACAACTGCTTCTTTAGTTTCATTTCTAAACGTTCAAACCGTATAAAATCTGCAGAAACTCACGCCTGATCCAAGCCCCTCCCCCAGAGAATCACCAGTCTATATTGATCAATGATTGGCTCCTGTACTAGAAGGCGTGGCTTCATTCGCGATATTGACCGTTACACTTTTTCCCATTCAAATCTATAGGAGTCATTGCAGTAGAAGAGCATCAAGTACCTCGAGTCTTGTGAGTCTATGGACTTCCTGTCATGTGACGGCTGGGTGATGTCAGCCTCCAGCTCCTTCTGTTTCTGCCTCTGCTGTTTGTTGTGGATTTCTCTCAGCTCCTGCAATGCATGATGGGATATTGGAGGACAGGTAAGGGGGAGTATAGGGGGCAATGGGGTTCTGTTTGCGCTTTTTTTATTACACTCAAAAAAACATGTTTACAGCTGCGCCCTGCAAGTGCGGTCCGGACAATAAATTTGTTTAAAATCTCAGTCGTGTCTTTTGAAACCAGAATCCCTTTAAACAATTGGTTAAACAATAGAAGTTAAAATCATTATCATTATCTGTATTTGAAATTTTAGTTCAAATATTTCCCAAGTGCCATTTAAAGTCAACATCAACTGGAAGCTGCGACCATTTATTTATTTATTTTTCGTATTGTGACGTACTCGTATAGTTAATTGTGACGTAATCTATATAGTTTCTCACATAGAGAAACAGAATATTAAATGAAAAAACAGCAGGCGTGGTTTGTTTTTATTACTGCAAGCTGATTAGATGTAGTACAGTTTATTCAGAAAGATCAGGAAAATGGTTTTGGGATAGTCACCATTTCCTCCTCCTCACCCTTTCTGTTTGTTGTCTAAACTGACCGTTGAGGGGGCGTGGTTATCGTGACATGTATCGAATTGTGACTTAAGTTTATCGTTACACCCTACCTTATTAATAACTAGGCCCACACAGAATCAGCGCGCACAGAAATCCACAGGTTTTTAGTCCATCGATTAGTCTATTTATCTATAATAACTAGAATTGTAACAATATGGCGTAATGTTGAGACATCGCAATATAAAACTGCGACGATGCTTATCACTGTTGTAAATGAAATGATTCAAAACATTGAGCTTGTTTTATCCAAGAGTTAGTTTTCTGTTTTTATAAGGTGTAATTCATTTAAAAGTTAATTCCGTCTACGTTTACGGTCGCATAATCATTCGAATCATTGTGCGACGAGACACTCATAAAGCATACTTCAGTGTTCATGCTCAGAACGGTTTGCCGTCTATAAGAAATGTAAAATTTTTAACCAACATTGAGCCTGCTTATAACATTGTTATTGTCTTTTTACGATATGTTTGAAAAACAAAAATACTAAAATTAAACTTTTTTTAGCATTCAATGTTACCTAAATATATTGCGAGTTCAGTTTCGAGATATATATTGAATCATGACTTGAGTGTATCATTATGCCCCTACTAATAACTAATTTGTTTTCTTTGCCATTATGACCATTCATAATATTTTTCAATAAGATATTTACATTCAGCTTAAAGTGCAATTTAAAGGCTTAACTAGGTTAACTAGGCAAGTTAAGGTATTTAGGCAAGTCTTTGGATAACAATGGTTTGCTCTGTAGTCAATCGGGAAATAAAAATCTTAAGGGGACTAAGAATATTCATTCATTAATGCATTTTCTTTCGGCTTAGTCTCTTTATTCACCAGGGGTCACCACAGCGGAACGAACCGCCAACTTATCCAGTATATGTTTTACACAGCGAATACCCTTCCAGCTGCAACCCGGTACTGGGAAACATCCATACACACTCATTCACACACATACACTACAGCCAATTTAGTTTATTCAATTCATCTATAGCGCATGTCTTTGGACTGTGGGGGAAAGCGGAGCACCCAGAGAAAACCCACGCCAACATAGGGGGAACATACAAGCTCCACACACAAATGCAGGCACTCAAACCAGCGGCCTTTCTTGCTGTGAGGCAACTGTGAGGCGGGCCTGCGACTAATATTACTGACCTTACAGATTATTTTACAAACTGCTTTTATTCCAGCCAAACTAAAATAAAGAAGAAACATAAAGAAAAACTATAATAGGAAACACAGTGAAAATGTCCTGGCTCTGTTAAACATCACTTGGGAAATATTTTATATTTAATTTCATAGAAGGGCGAATATTTTGCCTTCAACTGTGTGTGACCATCTAACTAAAAATCAATATATACAAAGTGTATGTGTGACTGAAAGAATCAACTAACATGAAGGTAGATGTTGTAAAAAGTATGCATGACCTGAAAATGGCTTATTACTATAACAACTGACTGCTTCAATATATTTATGTATGCAAAAATAGCACACTTGCATGGTACATGGTGTAAACTGCATAGCGAATGTGTTCATGATAGCAGACTGCAATGCCTGCTGGGTAAAGTCACATGAACCACTGCAGTCACTAGAGAGGAAACATGGAAATCTCAAGAAAAGCCGACTCTGCGAACACTGCTGTTTATGTAACACCATACCATTCCACCAATAAACAAGAGCTTCAGGGAAAGTGATGCTTTATCAAGTATTTGTACATTTCTCTACTCTGAGATCTCTTACTGAAGCTAGTTTTAGTCAGTTTTCAATATAATAATAGCACAATTTCTACAATATCAGATCAATCATGGTAAGATCACTGCAAGCAGTAACAGACAAACTCTAGAAAGACAGAAAGAGTTAGATGTTTAAGTGTAAAACACACATACACACACACCAAGCAAGTGTCAAAGGGTGCGAGTGTTTAGATTTCATGAACCAGACGTGCAGTTTCTAAATTCACACACTGAATATGTAAGCTCTGCTTCTGCAAACATGTTTACTGACGCAAGGCAATACCACTTATGCTTGTTTAATCACACTTGCTGGCCCATATGTCTCAAACTCAATTCCTGGAGGGCCGCAGCTCTAACCCTAATCAAACACACCTGTTCAAATTAATCAAGGTGTTCAAGACTACTAAACACTATTAAGCAGGTGTGAGTTGGAGGTGGTTGGAGATAAACTATGCAGAGCTGTGGCCCTCCAGGAATTGAGTTTGAGACCCCTGTGCTGGCCAATTATCTATCACATTTTCATGATCGTACCAAGACTAAGATAACTTAAGCAATACACGCATACATCTATGAAAAATGATTTAGTTCACCAAAAAAAGTTTCATGATTTTATTAATGTCTTTTCAATTTGCCTGAGACCATTGTTCATCTTGGGATTATAAATTAAGATATTGTAGATTAATTCGGAAAGCTCCCTCATCCTCCATTGCTCCCTGGATGGCATAAAACATGGGTAAGCTAGGTTGCTGCTGGAAGTGGTTTTAGTGTGACCAGCAGGGGCGCTCAACCTGCGATCTGTGATGGTCCAAATCCCCCAGTATATTGATAGGGACTCTACTGCTCTGCAGACGTTAAACCGAGGTCCTGACTCTCTGTGGTGAGAATGTCCTTTGAAAAAGAGTAGGAGTTTAAAGCCAGCAACCTGGCCAAATTTTCCCACTGGCCTCAGCACATCCCCATATCATAAAGTCTCCTCTCCACCAATTAGCTGGTGTGTGGTGTACGGTCTGGCGCAATATGGCTGCCATTGCATTATCCAGGTGAATGCTGCAAACTGTTGGTGGTGAATGAGGAGATTACAAGTAAAAAAGTGTAAAGAGTTTTGAGTGCCCAGAGAAGAGCTATGTAAATGTAAGGAATTATTATTACAGACAGAAACTGTCACAACTCCTTCAAAGTCTAGAAAAATACACTCTCAGGGACTGTTGCGGTCTTTTAAGATCTCAGATTTTACCTAAAATGCCCTCCTTTGTTTTCTGAAGACGAACAAAAGTCTCAGGAATTTGAAATGACATGAGAATGAGTATTTAATAGCATGACTCCCATTTGTGGGTGAACTAAACCTTAAAAAGACCAATTGAAAATTGTAATTTCTCCTAATTTGCATTTTATAGTTGTGCGTTTGAGCAAAGCTAAATTTTATTTTTATTCTGTAATCTATTGCTCTAAAAATTTAATTGTTTTGCACAAAATAATAAAAAAGATAATGTTTCAAATCTTTATATTCATTTTTAGATTTTTAGACAACAATACAAATGTTTTAACAATATCGGTCACAACAAATGTCTTTAAGCACCGAGACTTTTCAAATTATGCCTAATACTTGATTTCTCTCATTTTCACCCTCCAACTAATTAAATCAACAATATGACCCAAACTGGTAAAGGACAAAAAAAGTCACCTCAGTATAGTATAAAATCTATCAAATATAGTGGAAAAAGTCTTTTTTTGTCATACCCTCCTTTCAACAACGTTTTGCGGTACAAGTTCATTTCAGTACTCCAAAATCAAATCTAAAAGGCTTCTGCTTACATTTGAATAGTTACAATTTTCAAGTTATAAAAATCCCAAAAAAAAAAACCCCACCCCAAAAAAACAAACAAAAAACTCATTGTCACGGTTCATGCATGAGGTTTTTTCAGAATTAAATGACGCACATGGCTTGGAGGGGAAAAAAAGCGGCACGATCAAACTTACGCATTAATAACGTTGATCTAAGGCTGCATTTACACTGCAGATCTTGATGGTCAATTCTAATTTTGTGACTGTATTCACTTTTTTTGATGACCTGCTTGCATCATCTTTTAAAAGTGACTCGTATCCGATTGTCTGCATTTACACAGCACATGGCAAAGACGCATTGACCAGAAAAAAAGAGCGGGCGCTGACTAACAGATAATAATTAAAGAGTGCTCTTTTCTTTATTCCTGTATGTAATCTATTCGCAGCTTTTGAAAAATTGCTTTTTAAAACCTTTAGGCATTTTAATGTAAAGTCCATGGCGTGATTTATGCACGTGATGTACCCTAGCTATGCACTAGTTCTATATTAGTTTATATTGGTTACGAGGCGGACACTGCGCTCTCTCGCTCTCACTAACATGCTTAAATACCTGTGTTATATGACAATATAAAAGCTGTTTAAGTCCTTGTGTATGAGATTTAAGGTTTGGGACTCAAGAAAGTCAAAAAAGTTCAAAAGTCTGTTCTGAAATGAAAGTGCCGTAATCAGAATCCATGTGATTAGTTCCTTCGTACATGGGCCATATCCGATCTGTGCCACATAGGAGAAAAAAAAAAAAACGCAATTGAGTCACTTGAACAGTGCAGTGTAAATGTGGCCTAAGAAAAGCATCAGATCAGTGCACAGAAAGAAAGAGCTTTGTACCGATACGTGAAGGTTTAGAATAGCTACAGCGCTGCCTTTGATGGGCTTCTCAAAGG